GAGCCAATTGACAGTATGCCCTGTTATCCCAGGCAGAACTATATTGGTTACCAAACAGCTGTTTGTGGCTCTTATTACTTTGAAATACTTCAAATTTCTATCTTTGTTTTCTGGCCCATAACTGAGTGGTTCTTTTCTTCCTCACATGTAACAATATGTGTGGCATATATAATGTAAAATCTCCCTTTGCCTGGTGGGGGGAGGGGAGAACAAGAATGAGTGAGTGTGTCTGGGAAAGACGCAATCTTAACACTAGAATAATTTTTTTAATCAAACTCAAGAGTCTTCCCTTCCTTGAGACCTTATGAAATTTGATCCCACCAGCGCTGAGCTAGATGTTTTCAGTATGTTGATAGTGTACTAAAGAGAGGAGCTGGCTTCTTGACAAATTCAAATGAAGGTTCTTTTTCTCTCCATTTATTTTTAAAAGATATAAACTGCAAAAGTATAAAGCCCAAACATTCCCTAGGCGACAAGCTCAGTATCCAAGTAGTTTTCTTGATACTGTGGGTTTTAACTTTCACCTCCTTGTATTTTATAAATATCTGTAGTGAAGGAAGAGACTATAAAACTTGCTAGGAGAGTTTGGCAAAGGAACATATAATTTTCATGGCATATGTTAGAATTATACGGTTCTCCCTGCCCAGAACTCGAGAGTTGTCATGTGTGTTAAATATAGTTACTTGAATTAGCTGTACTTTCTGCTCTACGCCTTGCAATAAGCACAAAAGTATTTTTTTCCAAATAGCAAAAGAACAACTTTGGAGAAGTATTTTTACATTTATTGCTATCATATACAGCTCTTTTGACTAAAACTATAATTACTTGATAGCTTCCTAGATGCTCCATCCTATTTGGCAATTCATTATATTGTCTGCTCTTCTTCTCTAATTGTTTCACGTGGGTAAGTTGAATCTCCCTAAATAGATGGCAATTTTCTCAAAGGCAGGAACCATATCTTACACTTACTTTGTAGTATCTGGCAGTGCTGGACACACACTCTGTTGACTCTCCAATAACTGGAGCACCAGGACTCGTGTTTGGGCATAAGTGCTCTGGAGTCAGTCAGATGTGGGTTTGAATCCCAGTTCTGCCACATACTTTCTAGATGGGCAAGTGTGGGCCTGACTTTCCTTATCTATAATTTGGGCCTAATAATAATACCTACTCACAGGGTTGTTTCAAAGATAGAATGAGACTACCTAAGGCTTGTAGGACAGCCTAGATCCATGGTAAAGGCTCAAAGCACTTTATGATTATTACTGCCCATTTGAAGGTAAGATACTATATCACGTAAGGTGTGAAATTATACTCTAAGGCAGTGATTTTCAACTGGTGTGCTGCAAGAATTTTTAAGACATGCAATACCTGACTATTTAGTCAGGGGTATTGACATCTTTTCCCATAGATTGTCAAATAAAAAACTGACAACAGCCAACACAATAGTCATCCAGTGTGAATGCTGTCTTGAGCCATAAATATATAGGTCATATAATAAAGTTGCATCTTATTGGTCACATTGCATAATAAGGTTGCATCTGATTGGTTAATTCTTGGTATCAGAAATCCTTATATACAAATATATGCACCTGATTTTTTTTACAATTTTTTTTTATTGCTTAAAGTATTACAAAGGGTATCACATATGT